TAAATATGGCAAGTACCTTGTAGGCGATCCAACAAACTATGTAGGAGACAAAGAATGTAGACAGAGAGGTATTAATGTTGAAGGCCTACTCAAATGTAAATCTCTTCCACCTTGTGAGCTTTTATCACCCCGTACTCCCCACTAAAGTGGATGAAAAATAAATATTTGTTTTATGTGAACTTGTGCAGCTTGTGAGGGTGTCCAGATCCAAGGCGATTTTAATAATGAAAGTAAATATATAGTGCGCTGGTTGGGATCATGGACGAAATCAGAAATTCTATCGACGAAAGTTATACATGTGTGAGCTTTGGGAATATGAGGTGGCTAAATAGGAAAAAAGAGAATTGTTTACTGACTTTTCAATAATTTTTAAAAAAATTAAACAAATGGCATCTGAGTTCCCTGGCTTGTGTGACACTGAGGAAGACAAAGACAAAATATATTGACGACTATTTTATAAATAGGGTACGTCCAACTAGAAAAAGAAAAAGTTGTCCAAAAAAAATAGTGGACTTAGATCATTAGGAAAACTTTTGCTCAATTAATTTGTTGGTAAGTTTGGACAAAGAGAAACCCAAACAAAAGCAATTATAATAAGGTATCCAAAGTTTCCTTTCAAAATGCTAACCATTCCAGAAATAGATGTCAATAGAGTCCATATAGTAAATGATGGGGTTGTGGTTGTTGAGGAGGTTGGGGAGCCGATGCAAAACGTCAATTTTGTGATTGCAGCATACACTACAGCTAAATATATGCTTAAATTGTATGAGCACCTAGATGCCCTGGGTGGTCAGCTAGTATACTATGATACTGACTCAGTATTATCTTACTAATAAATGTGAAAGTTTGTGTGTATGTTTGTTTGTTTGTTTGTTTTAAGTTCAATCACGCATAAACTACTGGACGGATTGGGCTGAAATTTGGCATGATGATGGCTCACATTCCCGATTAACATACAGGCATATTCTTGTCTCAAAAATCCTTTCGGGCTCCGCCCCAGTGGCTCTGTAGTTCCCCATGTTAACCTTATGAGTATTCATATTTAAAGGTAATTAAAGAATTTAGTCAGCTGTTTCAACTAAACAAGTTGGTTCTATGATATGCAAAAGCATTTAAAGTTACGATTAAAGTCAAGCATTAAGTTTAAGATTTGCCAACAGGGTGCAGAACTATAATTTTTTTTGCGTTTATGAAAACAGCTAATTTTAACTAAGCAGCAACAAAAAACTGTGATGATGTGCAATGAGAACTGTCAAGTAGGACTGTGAAGTAGGATTGTTTACAGTTATATTTATGTTTTTAATTTCATGAATAGTTTTTGATTCATTTTTCTCTGTTGTTTAGGTGAAGTGGTGGAACAATATAGCTATGGTAGATTTGTGATACTATAGTTTACCGTAAATTTAAAGAAGCAAATTTTATCAAAATGTGTCCTCCTTCAATGCAAACGCAAAGCTTGATTATAACTGCAAAAAGCATTTGAAATATTTATATGCCAACCCCGTACGAAGGTCGGGTACTCTGCTAGTACGTATATAAGGGTGGTTTATAAAAAGGACCAACAGGGGATTGCCTCGGCAAAATGACTGATGACCATGGATGAAAATGGCCGAGTATATGGAGCTGGCTCTTTTCTAGTTGAGTTTGTATCTGGGGGTTTAAAAATCTATTCATATCTTGTATGGTCAACAAATAAGCAAGCACTAGTCTCTGTTTGTAAAGTTAAAGGACTAACACTAAATATGAAAACTTGGGTTTTGAAATATGAAAGATAAGGTTTTGAAAGTTTAAAAGACGTTTTTGAAACGGTACTCATTGGGAGTGTTATAAAAAATAAACAACGTGTATTTACTTGCACAGTTTTGTTAATATTAAACATCCACGACAACTTTTGCAGTATTTTGGTGATTGTGAAATGAAATGTACTATACAAGCGGAAGCAGAGTTTTACCTCAGCCGTGTGTGGTCACTTTTGCTTACAGTTTCTCAGCAATGTTTAGTTTGAGCGACAGAGGTTCGCATATAAAAAGAGGCTATTTCCCACCTGTATATGTTAGTGAAGGTGAATAAATGGAAGATTGGACTTATTGATTTGATGACATTTAATTCAATCCCAAATATTCATGCTGGTGTCAATGACAAGTTTTGTTGTGGTAACAAATCAATCACAGTGGATGAAGGGGCGTATGAAATTGAAGATTTAGAAACAATTTTACAATCAAAAGTAGGAATAGATGTAGAACTAAAACTAAAAGCAATGAATAATAAACTACTGAAATAAAGTGTATCCAAACTATAAATGTTACAAAAAGTGAAACTTTTACATCCCTACATCCCTTCTACATCCCTACACCCCTCCTACATCCCCTAGTTTGATAATACAATATTTAAAGCAGATGTAAAATACATTTCTGACAGACCATTCAGTATTATAAAAGTTAATGTAAAACGTGTTGAGTGTAACATAGTTAGTGAGTCGTTTGATAACGACACAGAAGGACATTTCATACACGAGTTCTACCCAAACGTAAGACCTACGTATAAAATAGTGGAGGTACGCAACACAATCATTTATTCATTTTTGTTGTTTTTGCCTCCTGATCACAAGTAATAATTTACAATCATTTATTTGCCCCTGAACGTTAAAAGGAGAAACAAGGTCACAATCCACCTGAGGGATCACAACAGTAAAAATATTAATTTAAGAAACGAGAGCATTTCCGTCAGGTTGCATATAAGGGAGAAAAATGGGTCTAGTATTTAGAGAGGTTACAACAGCAATACCAGTCAGCAAGTGTCAAGACACAGAAAGGTTAACAACGATGGTGCAAAAGCGGGTTTTAAAAGTTTTTAAGCTCATTGGGATTCAAAGTTTAAGATGCTGGTAATATAAAATAGCGCAGAGTATAGTGATGTAATAACAGGAATTGAGTTTCACACGCATTTAATCCATATGCGTCATCAAAATATTTTAAAAATAACTATGAAATACGTATATCCATCAGTCAACAAGACATAATAACTGCCCCATTTGACAGTGCTCTTCATATCGTGGACAAGGTTAGTGGTAAAAACATGATAAAACTGCTGCTGATGTCAAGACGCGAACTTGACTTGCAAACAACAAACTGAAACTTTGTCAAGATACGAGAGTGGTGGTGTTGAGGTTGATTGAACCAAGAATGTTGATATAGAAACCACTATTAAAAACTTACATACAACAGAGCGAGATAGAAAGCTTTAAAATGCCTGCTGGCTAGGACCAGGTAAATCCACTGAGCTATGGTAAATCAGAAAAAAAGGAATTTGCATTTAGCATACCATTGCACATGCTGTTGGGATTTACAGAGGATTACAGCTAGTCACAGCTAAGCTGGCACTTGCCCGAGCGATAGAAATTCGCTACTAACCTAGTTCAAAAACATTGCCTGCAGTCGTGCGGGTTGCATCAACTGACCGCGCGGTCCGAGTGAAGGCGCTGATGGCGCTGGGATAAATAAAATAGGAATATCTTAATTTTAAGGATGTTTAACGATTTGTACTTTTTGAAATGAGTGCAAAAAACTAATAAATTATAATATAGAGCTTACCTATTTTTTCCGAAACGATTTCCTAACTTTTTCAAAATTCTACGGACGCTCTCTTCACTTCCACTAAAATAATTTTTTCCCTGAGTGAGTTTCGCAACATTTTTGCAGTTGGAAGCCTTTTTTCTGTTATATAAAATTCGTACACTAACCTCCGGACGACACACTCGTCGAAATTGTCCAACCCGGTGATGGGCTTTTGTCTCTTTTTTGTACTAACGTGTGGTGGTGGTGGCTAACGTGAGGCAAAAGTTATCCACAAATGAAAATGCTGTCTACAGTGCAGACGCCACTCAAGTTACGGTAATTTACAAAAAATTACATGCTTGTTTTGGAGAGTACCACACATTACCGTATCTGACACATCTAAAGTTGCTAAAAATGATTAAAAAAGATACAAAAGTTCATTTTTTATTCAAAACATGGGAACTACACGAGTACCCATCACTTCCATAGACAACTTTTTAATCGTGGACTATAAAGACATCAAGTCAAATTGAAAAGTCGCGCTATATAGTAGTTGGTTTTCAAACCGTGCGAAGGAGTTGTTTAAGATAGGACTAGAGGAACTATCGTGAAATTTCGAAATTTCGTGTTTTAAATGTTCCGTGTCCCGTGTTGTATTTTATGTAAATTATTTGATGTTTTTGACGTAAAGCTCCGACGATGTTGCAGTGCAACGAAACATGATAGCTTTTATCAACATTAGTTGAAATAGAACACACAATTTTGGACTACTGACGGAGGTAAGCCTTTAAAGTCATTATCCGTAGTCAAGGGGCTATCAGAATGAATAATATGAATACTGTAATTTATCTTTGACTTGTGTTTTTGCAGCATGTAATCAACTTTATTGACGTATCCAAATGCATGTACATGTCTAACGGAATAAAATATTGATTCTTGAATGCAAGACGCATGTTGTAAGCGGCAAGATTCGTGCAACGCTGTATGCAATTATTGCACGACATATGAGGCGAAGTGAAGTGGAACGCCGCTTTAGCTGCCAACAAACAAAACAGCTGTAACAGCACTACTGACAGCGTTGCCACTTTGAAGGCCGAGTATGGTTGTTCTAACTGTTCACTATCATAAAATGCCAAAGTCGTCGACATGCACACAAAACAAAAATGTCCTTAACCTCAGTTGTAAATAATTAACTACTGTTTCAAAGGTCAATTGTGACGATATACAATATTAATAGAAGTCAATGATTAAACACAACGTGAGGCATTTTTAATCGATGCTACATTCCCAGTTCTTAATCGATGCTACATTCCCTGTTCTGGTTTTCTTTGGTCTGTATTCCACTAAGTATTTTCTGTTTTACTACACTTGCCTGAACCCTGAACTGAACCTCACTTCACTTCGTTTCGTATTGTATTGTATTGTATTGTCATGTCTGTGCTTTCAAGTGTTGTGCGTCTAAATTATCATTGACTATATTATATTATACAAGAAGGAATTTTAACCATTTACTTTACTAGGAATTCCAGGACATTGAAAGGTATGCAATGGTATATATCTAGTAGTTTAGTTCAATAGTTTATAACTGAAGTCATTATTTCACAAATTACCATTATTTAGAAACCGAAACCGATAGAAGGCGCCTTTGTAAACATGGTAGATTGTAGATTCCGCAATGCCGGCAATGTCTCTGGTAGTCATATGAAAAAGATAAGTATCGAATCTAGACCTTGACTCCCTAGTCCCTACTCTATTCCGATCCAGATAATATAATATTACTTAAACAGAAGCTAAGTTAAAATCAAATTGCCACTTGTAAACTCAGTTGTAATTGTATCTAACTTATAACAACAAACCTGTTTTAAAATGTGTCTTCAAGACTGTCTTTTGTATAAATTTGTATGCTTAGTAAATGTAGGGTTGCCACATGGTAATTTGTAAAAAAGAGGACATTTTAGCTGGCGGCCCCCACTTAAGGAAATAAAAGTTTAAGTTAGGCTACGGGCTAGCGAAGTTGTATACATAGGGCCTAGCCTACATAAGAAGAGCACAAATTAATTAGCCTATTAGGCTATAAAGAGAAACATAGTATGAGTCGTACATATGGAAAAATACTATGTCACTGGCCTGAAAGTAAAAAACACTTTTTTATTAATAAATGAATGAAACTGTCAAAAAACTTCAAAAATCCAGTTACGACTAACTTAAAAGTTAGACCTATTGACATTCGGGCCAGTGATGTCATTCGTTTATGTTAATTAATCCATACCATTAGCCTACTGTTCAATTATTCGTGCTACAATGTCAATATCCAAATATGGTCGCGAAAGCATAATAAGTTATTCTTATCTTGCTTCAGTTTGATCACTTCTCACTAAAAAAATAACTTAACGAATACCGTACAGTAGAACCTCGATAACAAATCACCCTTGATAACAAGAGTTATTTTCAACCCCTTGAAATTAGTTTAACTTACCCCTATGCCTAATCACATGTTATTGAAAACCTCGATAAGAAGTCAACCTCGATAACAAGTCTTATTTTATAATCCATAACTTATGAGAGTCTTGAAATCAAGGTTCTACTGTTAACATAAACAAATTACTTTTTGTCTGCTAGACTCCGTTAGGTATTGGAAGCGAACACGATACCTTCGGACTTCGTACTGCCCGGCAGACGCTAATGGAAGGACTGGGAGCAATGAAACAGACGATAAACAATTAACTAAGAATGTCGTTGGCAAAATCAAATTGAAACTAAGGAACACAAATTTCATAGCCTAACAATAATTTGCGAACACAAACATTTATTTTATCCAAAAAGTGACATTATGTAGGCTTACATTGTATTTTAATAGGCTAGAGAGTAAAAAAAAAAAAAATTTATCACTTTTTTTCAGGAATCCCCCAGAATTAATTTTGAACATCAAAACCCGGTAATCTCCGTGGAAATCCGGGGATATTGCAACCCTAATGCTCAGGCCTATTCGAAGTGGACGATTAGCCTAAGTGAAAAATATTAGGCATAGTTTTTTTTTTTTTTTTATAAGCAGAAGGATTGCAAAAGTTTTTTTAAAGTTAGCATACTTTAGCTTGTCGCTCAAGGTTCTTAGGCTAGTTTGAGAGCTCAGCACTGCATCTCATCCCCTCATCATAGAGTAGGCTGTACATCATAAAGACAGGGCCTTTGTTGTTACTCCCTGCCTTTAGGATAATCTTCCTCCCTCCATAAAATGCTTAAAAATACCGTAGCTTGTGTTTTGGTGGCATTAATAATAAATTATTTTGGAGAATTTGTCTTCGAACGCTGTTTTGTCCTACCTAACTTAAAACTATGTTGGCACTTGCGTGTTGACTTAAGTTAACACCATCACTGCTTACCTTAAGTGTTGGTATTTATTTAGGCCTACATTAGGCCTAATAGCTATCCCTACGCGTAGGCCTACTGCAATAAATTTGTTTAACAGTTATATGTTAATTTTTAAGCTCTAGCTAACTTAAGTAGCCTAACTTATAGGTTAAGATAAAAAATGTAATGTTATAATTCTTAATGGAAAATTCAAATAATGTACGCAATAATGACATAGGCCTACATTATTGTTATCCTTAGGCCTAGATTCCTTGTTACTTTTGTACTGTTGTGTAGGCCTAAATATTTAGCCATCTTGTTAACACTCCATTTTGTAAACTGATGTAAACCGGTTGGGAAATAAATCAATAACCGAAATAAATAAACATGTGCGTCTGGCACATGAAATCAAGTAGGCTATGCCTGAGTTGGGTTAGGCACTGTGAGCTAAAATGTGAATTAGGCACATGTGTGTGCATTTTGCTAGTTGTGTGTTACGTAACTTACGGTAACTTACTTGAGTTATTTGTTAAAATGCAAGCATTTTTGAAATAGGCTAGTAATTTGAAGTGTTTCTCTCAGGATTTTTATTTAACAAAACCAGACTGCAGGCGACATAAACTAACAACTCGATACGGTACATTATAACCTAAACTTTACCTTAAAACCTAACTTTAAAACACTTGATGTAGTCACCAATTCGCATAAAGCACGACCTACCACCCTGACATACCCAAATAAGAACTACCGGTACATGTAATTAGTCCACCAGTCCTTCTATATCTCCATAATGTGACAAAATTCCTATTATAGAAAACATTACGGTATTGACTACAGAATCACTTGAAAAGTTTCTACAACGATCTTATCATGTTTAATCAACGATGTTATTCTTCTCATCAACCATGTTATTCTCTTCTCTTAACCTTAACTTGTGACGGCGTGGTAGACTAGCACTACGCAGCACGTATGAGTAGGACTAACCTATTTTTGTTTTGTGTTTTAGCTGTAGTGAAGTAAAATTACGTCACTAGGCATATTGCCGATGACAGAATCAGAGTGAGTTAATAAAGTTCAAAAGTTGTTACTTCCAGTTGCTTGTTGTGTGGTCAGAGGTGCCCATCCCCCCCAAACTCAGAGGCACAATCCCCCCCCAAGCCAAAGGAGTAGCCCCCCCCCATTTATACTACCGTATATTTAAACCTACCCTCCCCCCGCCAATTTATCTGTAAATTTCCCCTTTACCTCATAAAACGAGCATTTAAAGTATTTTTTTGGAAAAGTTGAGGTAAAGAAAAACAAACTTGCTGATAATCAAAATTAAATGCTTAATAGTAAACGTCATTTATCAATATATCATTATATCTAACTAATGGACGAATTACAAGCTTTTCAATTTAAAATTCAGAATCTGTATTATCAGCCAACAGTTACTCAGTATTGCAATAGAAAATGTCTTAAAAACGTACAACAATATACTCGGTGAATTACTCTACTCCAACACAGTTTACTGTAACTGTACAATATATTAGGTGGCGTTAATTTTACGGGGCTTAAGAATTCAAACAGTTTTAAGTGCATGAATAATACTTTGGCAAAAAGTAGGCTAACTTATTTCAAAATTATAGGCAGAGTCACGAAATAGGACAGACTTGTTGCTCGCCACTCTTATAGGCTCCCTTCTACAAAAATCGCCGGACAAAATACCCAGAATTCTTTAATTGCCACTAGCATAAAAGGTTTTTGTGATGAAGTAATCTTATAATAAATTCATTTTGATAGCATTGCCTTCTATGACCAATAATGGTAAAAACGCATCTTGTCAGACAATCCTTAATAATATATGTAAGGTAGAGTCGAATTTTACTTGCTACATATGTTCTGGCGGTTCTTTAACCCCACCATCGGAGGCTTACAAAAGGATCCACTTCTGGAGGTGTCGTCAGAATATGTTACAAACATTAAACACGAAACGATAACAGATAGGCCTATCAATTCACGCGTGTATATTGCCGCGGGCAGGATGAATCAGGTTATGACGGAAAGACGTGGTCTCTGGATTGTCGTCTGTGTTATCTATCAAAAGCTGATATTGGACTAATTGTAGTGACGGAGGAGAGTGTTGAAAATATAATGGGATTCATAATCGAGTTTTCCATTCAAAATTATTGACAATAATAACCAATTTATATGCTGGATATAAATGATGGTCTCGAAATTCTACAGTACTGCGCGAAAGGAAATTTATTAAATACTTTTGAAGAGTTTGAAATTTATAAATACATAAATCTAGTGACAGCACACAGTTTTTGAGTGAAAACACTCGATTAACTATGAATTCCATTATATTTTCAACACTCTTCTCAATCATTACATTACAATAGTGTTATATCAGCTGTTGAAAACGCAGACGACAATCTAGCTAGAGACCACGTCAGTCCTTTTCCGTCATAACCTGAACCTGATTCAGTTTACTTCCAGTCCTGCCGACGGCAATGTACACGCGTGAATTGATAGGCATATCTGTAATCGTTTCGTGTTTTGTATTAAATGTTTGTAACGTATTCACGACACCTCCAGAGAAGTGGATCTTTATGTAAGCCTGACGATAATGGAGTTTAAGAACCACCAAAATATATGTATCAAGTAAAATTCGACACTAAATATTAAGGATTGCCTGACAAGGTGTGTTTTTGTTTTTACCATTCTTAGAAGCAATCTTAATTACGAATGGCAAAATGTTGTTGGTGTTGATAATGAACTACTTAGAAACACTTTTCAGGCTGCTTATACAAAATTATACATTCATTATGATAGCAAAAAATGCCCCCCCCCCAAATGCCCCCAAAAAAAGTCCCCCCAAAAATTCCTGTGTGGGCACCCCTGTGTGTGGTTGAAAACAGTCAGCTGTAGGCTTAGTTAACCCACTGTTCATTCCACTTGTAAATGTTATCCGTAGGGTACCTAGTTTGTAATTTTTGTATATTTTTACGGCGATATCTTGGGAAATATTCATCAGCAGTGGAAAATAATGGTATATTTGGATTCAGGAGGTAAAAAACTATAACGTAAGATGTCAAAATAAAAAAAATTGTTTGGAGGCACCTATATGGAATAAATCCCGGATCAGTCTATGTTTTGGACATGTTAGCCATGATAAGTCTATTCTTTGATACAGTCGCCGAGACACAAAGCTGGTTTTTTAGGATAACCCTCACACTGGTACCCACACACGTATAACTTACCGGTACCGGTACTGAAAATTGTTCACGCCACTCCTAGGGTTTATTTGAAGTTATTATGTTAGCTCCTCTGGCTTGGGAGGGGGGATTGGCACCTCTGGTTATCATACACTTCATGAATCCTTGTTTTCCCAATAGATTATCTGAAACAAATATGAAAATAAGTTGTTATGTTATTCTATTCAAATAATAATTTAGTACTAGTCAACTCAAGTTAGACGAACTCCAACTTGGTTGTGGCTTGAAATGTGTGGATTATGATTTATGGCTCTGATGATTAGGTCACTGTGTTGAATCCCCTCGTTTGGTACTCAAAATATACCTAAACCAATAGACCTAACAATGGAAATGAAAAAGCCACTTAAAAAGTTCAAGTCGCCTCAACTTAAGACAGCTAGTCAGCACAGGTCATACTTCCGAGTGATCACCCCAGGACTGCATACCCTCAATAGTAATAATACTAACAAGTATTCCAAACTACTACTTTTCATTTGTTGTATCTCACCTCTCCATCATCTATGAGGTTGCTTATTTCTGTTACTGTTCAATCATTAAGCCTAGACATTCGCTTGAATACTTTTACTAACAATTTATTGTTTGTTTCAGGTCTTAAAGAAGATACCAGTATAAATAATGTATTAGAAAAAGTTGTGTTATTGGAAATGACTAAGCCTAAGTAAAAGGTTTTTGATTTTTGTAAACTAAGGAAGTATATTTTTTTGCCAAAACTATGGCACGCAAACAAAGTAAACCTGCTAAAACTACTAAAAAAGATTCTTCTGTTGGTGTAAATGCAAAGAAAGGCGGTAAAATTACTAAAAAGGTAGCAGAAAGCAAAACGAAGAAAAAAGTTGAATCCCAGCTCAAACTAACTGTGAAGACACAAAAAAGGCAAACTAAACCTGCTGCAAGTTCTCCTGCCAATTCAGGTAGAAGAAGTAGCCGCACTAACAATGATAGTACCAGAAACTCTTTGACATCTAATGCTCATCGTTCAAGCCCTAATAAAAAATCTACTTCCAAGACAAAAACCCCTTCAAGAGCTAACAACGCACAATCTACCAGCAAGCGTAAATCTAATTCCACAGAACAAACAAAATCTAAAAAACAAGTGGTGGCTAAAAAGGCTAAGGAGTCTCCAGTTAAAACATCACCAGCAGGTAAGAAAAAGCCTGTAAATGAAACTAATGGTAGAGGTAACAAAAGGAGTTATGCTCAATCAATAAGCAGCAGTAACACAGAAGTAAACAATGAGGCTAAAAGAAGGAAGACTGATGATTTAAAAAATATTACTTTGACTTCACGAAGAAATAGGAATATCAAACCAACAGTCAAGGGTTCCGAGTGGAAAAAAACAATCTTGCAAAAGAAAGCAATTGGTGCCAAACAAGAAAAACCTAGCATAAAAGTTAAGAAAACAACTGTGAAAAATAAATCACCCAAGCAAAATAAGAAATCGGTTTCTCCTAAATCGATTACTAAGTCAAAAGCTGCAGGCAAAACATTAGCAAAATCACCAAAAAGTCAGATTGGAGTCAAAACGCCGACTGAAAAGAAAAAAGCTGTATCACCACCTAAGAAGAAAGTCAAATCTACTGTTGAAAAAAATACTGTTTCAAGTAAATCTCCATTGGTGCGTAATTCATCAAGAAAATCTTCTTCCAAACCAAAAGAAGACATCAATTCTCCCAAAGCCAACACCTTGGCGACATCCATAAAGAATAAATTCAATTCTTGTATTTCAAAGAAAAGAAGTTCAAGCGGTGCTGGGATACAAGAAAATGTGTTAGTTGCTCAAGGTATTTTAGACGATATTCTTTCTTCAGTTGGCATCCCCAAGGACTCATCAGATTTAGACAAAGCTGTCTGTAGTGAAGATGTCAACTTGATCACATCCAAATCACAGACTACATTGTTAAAAATGGATAAAGAAGAAACTGACCCATCGTCTCAAACATTTATCACTCCTGTAAGTGAATGTGTTAATATGGATACTGAACAGGAAAAGAAAATCACGGATGGTAAAAAAACTAATGATAAAATTTGCATTGAAACCACAACACCCGCAGACAAACCCACAGACAATGCAAATGATTTAGACGAGAACCTAGAAGAAGAAATGGAATTGCGCTTATCAGATACATCAGTAACATCTGTAAATGAAAATGACACTGCCTCATCTGAACAAAGTCCCAGCATTATCACAAATACTGGAAATGAAGTAAAAATAAACAGTAACAGCAAGTGTGTTAATGAAGTAAAAAGTTGTCTAGATTCTGACAATAAAGTTAAATTGGAGGTAACACAAGAACACTCTGACTGCCAAAATAAATTGACATCACAGGAAAATGACCATAATCTTGATCCACTTGTTGACCGAAAGAAATCCACTTCTTCATCTCAATTAAAAAATAACACAAAAGGTGTTTTGCAAGAAGGTATTGTAGTTAAGGACATTTCCCCTTCTAGCAATAAAAAAGTTGATCTTGCAAATGCTGTAATAGTGGATAAAACTGTAGATAATGTTAAAGAAAAGAGTAAAGATTCCTCAAGCAAGAAAAGAGAAGATATAGAACCCAATGAACAAAGTATGAATGGGAATACTGACTCAGCAATAAAATCTAATACCACTCAAGAGAGTTCCACTTTGAAAGAAAATCAAGAGGGTTCAGTAGGTCTGGACTGCAAGAAAAACACAGCAAATGATCATATTGTTACTGAATGTAAGGTTATTAAAGAATCATCAGCACACCAATCACTACAAGATCATGATGTAACTAATGGAAAATACCCTAATTTTGACCAGATTGACGAAAACAAAATATCCAAGAGCAGTTTATCACCAAGCAAGGTTGATTCCTCCTGTGTTATCAAGCCAGAAAATAAATTATCCAACACAAAACCTCCATCAACTCAGCCTTTAAATGGTGAACACAAAACTGTAGACCACAGTAGAGATAAAATCATTCCTTGTGATACAAGTTTGAAAAAACCACATGAGATAACTACAAATGGAATAAACAAACCAAAATTGAAATCATCAGTAAATGACCCGCACTTATTACAGATATCCGAGGATAAAGAAGAACAAAAACACCTTGAAATCGTGCAGAACGAAATCACAAAAGGTTGTCAGAGCTTGGCAAGTGAAAAAAACGATGTGATAGAAGTTAAAGAAGATTCTGCTGATACCGTTAGTAAGCGAAGCTTGGACTCTGTTGAAGTTGTGAAAGTCAGTTCTACAACTGAAAATGTAGAATCTCAGGCTTTAGAAGAAAAAAAACAAACTTTAGTTTCAGAATCAGTAGAATCAAAGCGTGAAAATTGCAGTTCTACCGGCATAACACAAGAATTTGATACAATTTTGAAAGTCAGTAATACATCGAACATTGTAGAATATCATGCCTTGGATGTTAAAAGTGAAACTTCACTTTCAGAATCAGTTGACTCAAAGCTTGAGAATGACAGCTCTACTGGCATAACACAAGAATTTGACACAATAACTATAGAAGAACCAACTAATTCTAGTGATGAGCATCGTTCTAAGGAAGAACAGTTGAACACAGAAAAACCAAGAGAAAACCTGAAACATGAAATTTCTACCATTGTAACTGAAATTAAAGATTCTTCAGTCAGTCCAATCAAAACTATTGCTTGTGGAAAAAATAATATTGAGAACCAACTGGAAAACTGTTGCCCCAAAGAAAAACCGATAAGTACAAACGTTGAATTGCCAGCAGACAATATTACGAATGAAGAAAAAAATGGAGAACTACTAAAGGTTGAAGAGACCTGCCAAGAAGAAAATGCTCAAAATTCTATTGTTGGAACAAATGGAGAAACACTGAATCATAGTTCTGACACTCTCAGCAACAAAATGAGTGTTGATGAAGAATATTCTAGCATGGAAATTGAATGTGGAGGAAAGGAACGTTTGACAACTGCTCCTTCTAGCATGGAAGTTGACGTTGATGTGAGTTAGACTTTTAAGATTAATATACATTCTGTAATATTTGTGAAGCTAGGAATAGTGTAGATTTATTTTCTCTTACTAGCTGCAATGTTTGATTGTGTGTCAAAAGAAACTTTATTTTATTAGATCTAAGAAATTTTTATATAGGATAGTTTTTTTTAATGGAAAGTTTTATTTACTGTTTTACTGTCCACATAGTAGGTATAATCCTCAAGGGGAAATATATTTAGAGAGATCTCAAATTTGTTGGAGGTTCTGACTTTAAAAATATCTTCACTAAGGAAAAATGAAAGTTAACAGAGGGTAATTTAAGTGAGTTAATGCTTATTTAATGTAAGTGGGGTAACTTTGCTGGAACATTGGTTAACTTAAAGAAGCTGAGCTTGCTCCCCACTATCTCACATAAACTAGGGCTTAACAATGTGTTTATACAGGAGCAGAATAAAAAGTATTGAACCTCTGTGTCTATATAAAAAATAAATGGTATATCAAAGTGCAATAATGTTTACTTTTAAAATTACTGAGAAATAACTACCTATGGCATCAGCTCATACAGTTATACAAACTGAGATATTTAGTATAAACCATTAGAACCGTATAAATAATTATAAATAATAACAATTAAAGAGTCCAAGGGAAAAACGGGCTAACCCTAAAAAAATGCAAAATTTAGTTATGAACGGTTTTAAATAGATCTTTTAAATCTAAACAGTTTGCAATAATGAAAATTGACAAAAAAAGGCTCCTAGTAAGAGTAAATCACCTTTGAAATAAACGCATCCAGAGGAAGAACGGGGCAACCCACAATGAGTGTAGGCAAGAACGGGGCAACCCTCAAGCCGCGTATGCGCTTATGGTTTGTTTACTTAAGTGGTGCTCGTTTCATGAACCAACAGGAAATTTGGGTTAGCCCGTTTTTGACAAGGAAATTACGTATTTAGAGTGTTTAACTGTATCATTCTCGGTAACCCAGCGGTATATCGGCGGGTATATCCTTGAAAAACGTTTTGCTCTCCTGAAAAATTTACTTCTGTGGGGTTAGCACGTTTTTCCCACTTGGACTCTTCAATTAGTACAAACAATATGTTAATTTACTACAAGTATTTCATTTTAGATGGGTGTCAGAAATTCCTTATAACCTTCCTTGTTTTTTTCTGGTTGTAGTGAGACATAATAGCTTTTTGAATTTGTTTTTGATTGTAAGGGCCTATGTGTACAAATAAGTACTATGATATTGTGTACATAGATTAGTCTAAGTTCAATTATTACTCAGTAAGTCTGTATTAGAATCATAATGTTCCATCGCTAAAATTGTTTTCTTTTATTGACAATATTAATTCAGAAGCATCCGTCTTAAAAATATTAAAAAAAAGAAAATCAGGTGCAGAATCTGCAGTGTCCCGTAAATGGGTAAAGGACTTTTTTTGGAAAGTGGTAGGGTTGAAATCTGCATACCATGAGCTGACTTACTAAAAAAAGGTTTCATAAGAGTGATATATCGTCCCAATAAAGGGCTTTATCAAGTAGATTGATAAAATTATCAGTGTTATGTTATGTGGACTGTTTGTATATATATTGGCTCCTGGACTTATTTTCCCCAAATAGGCTAGGAGATCTCCACCTCTTTCCAAAATCCCCTCAGCCAAACAGCTTCCTTTCATATTAATTAGATGGTGCTCTCTTTCACCTGTCCACTAATCCATCAATAAATTTCTTTTGAAAATGCATGTATCTGTTTAGAAAATAATCTCTTTCTGCAATTTACAACTATTTTTTTTACAAAGAATATCTAATTTTGTCCAACTTAAAGTTTACAACGAAGGGTTGTGTAATCTTTACTAGGAGTTGTGTAGTTCATACTGAATATTTATTTTGGATAGGTTTTACTAAAGCGATCACAATAGAATAAGGTAGACTATACTTTTGTTAAACCAGCTAAATCATGCAAGCATTTAGGTTTAAAAAGTACAGACAGAGTATGATATTGATCCAATATTTGGACAACTACTGTTCTGCATCCGTGGGTTTTCATTCTTACAAGGTTTTTTTATCAAGGATTATATTTATGTTTTTTATATATATTTTAAAGCAGTTATGTAGTTGTTAGTATTGTAGTTAATTTATTTCAATGTCAACTTTCTTTAAATTTACTCAAGACAGTAGTTTTGATATGGAATATGTTGCATGCACAAAATGCTATTATCAATATTAATACCAACTTATTTGTATCAGTGGTTTTCTGTTTTAGTAAACTATTTAATTTTACATTTTTATATCTAGACGATAAACAATCTTGCTGTTGTATTTTTATTGTCTTAGTTAAAAATGCATTGCTTTTAACCAGTTTAAATGGAAGGGATTTTGTTATTTAAAGATTGTTTAACCACATGAGCAATTGAATTATTTATTTGATTAATATTTTAAAATATTACATTACTATACTGGTAATCCTCTAATTATACAGGTTGGTTTGATATTACAGTCATTCAGGCCAACTTAGCTATTAATTACTTATTATATTTTATATTACACTTTACTGTTCCAGAGATTTTTGTATTTACTAAATACAGACAGTAGTTTTAGTTTGTGATAAATTATAAGTTTTTGTGAACTATTTTAATGACATTGAATAAACTACCTCTGAAAAGAAATACTTTCCTGTGAAAACTGATGCATTTATCATGTCACTGTAGCAGTTGAGATGAATCGTAGGGATGTTGATTATGATCTTATCGGTTACATTCATGTACTAGTTCCTGTGTATTACTTAAGTGATTTTCCAACTAAATGTCTGATGTGAAGAATGTCTTTTTATTATTCAATAAACATACGGATCATAATATCGAGAGTTTTTATTTTATTTTTCCTTTTTATAAGCTGAATCAACAACTTTAGAGTTAAATACCAATCCCTGTATACCTATTTTGCCATCTTAAGTGTTTGAGTTGTCTATATTGGTTAACATTCAAAGTTATGTTTAGTTATTTTCATATTAAATCCATTAAATTATTAATAAGTTAACCATGTGCAATTATTAGCCATGACAGATTTAAAACAAAAATGCATCGGAATGAATGTGAGTGAATCCAAAATAACAGGAGGAAATACTTTTCATATTTTACACATTTTAGAATCATTCGCTTAACCCTTCCCGGACGGGTGACGGATATTTCTGCCTAAGTCTTTGGCGATAAAGGGCGGGTTGCGGATAAATCCGCTTATGGTTTTTGATGTTCCGGACGGGAAACGGATACACCCGCCTTCTCTTCAGACAGACTGGCAGGTGCTTGAGCAGTAACCAGATGTTTCGCAGTACCAAGGCTCCACTTTTATTTATTGTTTACATATATTGTTCATTTTTTATTGCCTAACGTTGTCATGGTCATATCTTCAAAGGCGGTTGGCGGATATATCCGCGGACGAGTAGCGATTTTATGTATACGTGTATAGCAAAACACAAATAAGGAAAATTAGTTTTTATTTTTTCCTATAATTTTTCCCCGTTCTATTTCGCCTGTCCGGGAAGGGTTAATATTTTTAAGAGACAGTAACATCATTTGTGTAGTGCATAACACATTTTATGCTGTATAAGAATACCGGGTGAGTGAAGAATAAAGTGGGATAATCTTGTGACATTACTAGGTGTAATTTAATCCAAATTTGATTGATGGATGAGTTTAGAAGCAAGATGCAAGATCAGCTGGTTTTTAGGAAGAATAATTCATCAAAAGTCCAATGATCAAGGACAGCCATTGTGGACGATCGATACTATAATATAAATAATTTGTATATTAATACTTAGGTGCAACCTAGGAGGGTTAAAAAACTCCTTATCAATCACTTGACCTTCCAATAAAATATAACCTCAAATTTAGTTTGGTAATCCACACCTGTGTTGAAGACTCCTGGAGTCGTAACAATCAGAGATCATATGGTCGGTTGGCCAGGTGTGTATCATATGTACAAGGTCACCTCCAGTCTTATAAACTGATGTTTCCAGCTTGCAGTACTTGTTGATCGTTGTATGCACATTGTTAACACCTGTTTCTAAGGTAAGAAAATAATAATGATTATAGAGTTAATTGTTGGGATATAGAACGAGTATTTCTTTGATTGTTTAGGAAGACATTTGAAGAAAGTTTTAAATATTGATTTGATATAATGTAACCTTTAATATTCCTTAATTTACTGTTATTGATTTACATTTAAAACTTAATTACTAAAGCATGATTATGAATTTATAATACACTCATTACATAAAAAAGAGGTATTCTTTGTGTAAAATTTTTGTCATCATCAGATATATAAATTTGTCTTGTTAAACATTTAACTGGTTAAACATTTGTTTGTATAAAAAGGCAAAAGAGAAACTGATATAATAGAATATCAGGCTGATATAGGCCTAATGATGGCCCTATAGTTTTTAGGGCTATTTTCAAAACAGCTGAAAATACATGTTTTATCAGTGTTTTTGAGGATAGCAGGGTTAGGGTAAAATATCAAATTTCCACTACTGCATTGGAAGGGAAGGAGCTGGGAGGATAGCTTACTTACCTTAAAAATTATAATCATATTAATAAACTAGCAGAGGACCCGTCCTTTGTCCGGGGTTGATGTTTAATAAAAAGTTATTCATTATTAGAATAGAACGTGAAATCTACAGGGTGTGTCAAAAGTTATAATATAGATAGGTAGTATACCTCTGGATTAGAAAACATAACTAATCTATGGAGTAATATGAAATTATGATTTAAAAATCTGTGAAAAGGCAAATGGTGTGAACAACATTTCTCTCAAAATGGCAAAAATATACAATTAATTATCTCCTTGAGAAAAATTTCAATTTTTAAGGTGTGTGTCCTACTCTAAATACATTTTAAGTGTTCAAAAATGTTAAAATGATTCAAGTAAATGTGACTTTATAATTTCACTATTTTTTACACCAAAATCAATAGCTATATTTTTGTAAAATTTAAGCCCAGTCAGTCCATTAGTTTATGTGCCTATTAGTAACAAACATACAGACAGACACCACTAGATTTTTATAATATAATAATAGTGTAGATAAACAATACAATATTTGATACAATATTGGTTATAGGTCTATTGATATGGGTATATCGATAAAATATCGATATTTTTTCAGTCCTTGTATCGATATTAGTATCGATGATTTTTTATCATTTGATTTTATAGTGTTTACGCATTAGTTAATTGGGTAAAAATATTCACAATTATGCTTTTGTGCTCCAAGATGGTTTTATTGCTTAATAAGATCAACAATGATGCCATTTTAGGATTGTTTGTCGGTAGGTGTTTAGTGTAAATTCAGTATTCTTATCAAAGTTTGATAATTTATTTTTGTTTCAGGTAAACAAAAAACAATTACTGCAATTTCGATCCCTAGAACTGCGTTCAAAATACTTTGTGAAAGGGAATACATCAGCCGAGGGAAGACAATATTTTATGAATAGGAATGAGTAGACGATGTGAATTGAAATTGATTGACGTGTTAAAAGAAGGCAATCTTGATATGGCTAAATCCAAATATAATAGTGTTAGTGGTAAAAAATCAGATACACCCATAGAAAGTAGGAGTTCAAGAACCAGGTTTGGTAATACGTCTACTTTGAAGAAAAAATATGACTCTGGAACTTTAAAGCAGCAAACAGAAATTACTTTGAAGAAGCGTAAGAAACTTAATGATGTGAGTGAATTACCAAGCAAAAAAATCTTTACCGGGAGTAACATTATCAAGAACCCAGTTAAGCCTGATAAAGAAATCAGCCAAAAAAAGAAAAGAAATACTAAATCTCGCGAATCTTGCTGGGAAAACAAACTGACGGGAGCAAGACGTGTGAGCAAACGTCTATCAAATCTAAGAATATCTTTAAAGAAATTGGAATCATCTCTTGCTACATCTTTTGTCACAATTAAAACAAGGCAGCCAGTTGCTTTTAGTGCCAGAGGTAAAATGAAGCAAAACTATTGTGATTTAAAACCACCCAAAAAGAACAAGACTTCACAGTACAGAAATTTTCCGGAAACACAGTTTAATTTTGGAAAACTAGGCCATACTAAGAGGCTACACCCAAAAACAACTGCTAGAAGACCTGAAACTTACACTGTTACTGTAAAATCTACTGCTTCAGCTTCACACTCCAGAAGAAATGACAAAAAGCAAGGAAACATAATGCATAACACATTTGATGAAGATTCGAATGACTCAGATGTAAATCTTCTAATCGAGAGGTGTGTTGAAGATATTCAAAATGATTTAAGTGAACCTGAATCCGACACTGAAGAAGACAAAAAAATATCTAAAGCATATCAACTGTTGAAATCCAAAGAGACTATTGAGGAAAATGAGGAGAAAGCTGCTCAAGATACAAAAGTTGAAACTCTGATTTGTGAACAAGTTGATGAATTAACTGATGATTCTACAATTCTCATTGGTGTAAACGTTGAGTCAAACGTAAATATCGAGCGTGAAACGCTTACTGAAAGTATAAGTAAGAATAACAGTGAATCCAAAACTGAATGTAAAAACATTCAGAACAATGAAATAACACAAGATGAAACTTGTGTTTCAAATGAAATAACAACTACGGTAGAAGATCTGCCAATAATCGATTTGGAGCAAGACAACTGCCAAGGAAACATAGACGAAGTTGTTGATGAAAACGCAAGTGGATCTAAAGTGGAATCTGGAGCCTCAAATGGAACTACTGCAGAAGATACCAAGGGTACAGCTGTTGGTAAAGATGTCAACATTAGTGGATCAGCTGATTAACCATAAGCCTAGTACAAGGTACCTGTTTTTGTTAGTATAAAAAAGTAGAATTTTCAGTATAGCTTGTAGTTAAGTTAGCAAAATCTGTAGTTTAAGAGCAGTTTGAAAGGCACAATCATAAAATAGTAAATTAATTGAACAATAAAGACAAAAAATAAATTGTATTCAACAGGTATGTTTAAATGTGTATGTTTATTTTACGTCTGTGTGCTTAAAAAAATTCTGTGTAGTTAAAAATTCATTCATTTTCATTTCAAATTCATTTAGACTATCGCAACCGCCCGGCCAAGTCAGCTGACGGAGTGAGACGAATCAGCTTAGAGAGAAAGAGAGATAGAGGCAAATCTTATTTCTGCAAAAAATTCCAGTCTGACTATATTCTCTAAAAGCTTTTCCTTTTTATGGGGTATTCATTGGTATTTGTATTCATTGTAATCATGTTAAAATAAGCAAAGCAGCGTCAAAGAATTAGATGGATTTAATTTTGATTGAGTTTTAACCAGAAGGGGAGGAAGGTAATATTAAAATCAACAAACGTGATAATTTATAAATAAATTCTTTTCATTGTGACAAAATAATTACAGTACAATATTACACTATATTCCCATATGAAGCTTACATTACATTTGAAAAATACAGTTACAATGTTTCAAACTACACAGATCTTGAATAAACAAAAATTTTGCAAAGTGTATTAAAATTCATGAATTATGGTCCTCAATATGTTAAGTTCAGTACCTGTCTACAACATCTGAATCTACGTCAACAGTTTCTACATAAATATAATATTTATAAATCGTCTAATCAGCACAAATTTGATTGTTTAAGGCCTCTTAGTAGATAGAAATGAGAAAGATTATTATGGTACATCTACAACTGGGTACTTATAAAATAGATGTAAAATTTTTATTCACTTAAGTTTTAGAAAAATAAAATTACTAAACAAGTGGTCTTCTGGATTTGAGGGACATTTATTGTTTATTTGCTTCTGAGTGGATGCCACATGGCGATGGGTTTACGAAGGGAAGTTAACATTTGAGTCCAGTGAGTTAAAGCTTTGCCAGTTGACTGACTTCCTACAATGACGTGGCCGATGTTGAGAGCTCGGCCTTCTGACCCAGTCTCGGACACTGTCACTCGCAGTTGGATAGTCTACAACATAAGATACACAGGTCAACAAATGAGTATAGTGGGTTAAAGCTTTGTGAGTTGACTGACTTCTTACAATAACGTGGCCGATGTTGCGAGCTTGGCCCTTACTTTGGTTGTAGATTGTTGTTGTAACTCAATTTAAGTAAATTATTTTGAAGTTTTCAAACTCACCTAATGGTTTTTATTACTAAATTTAAAGTTCCAAACACAATTTACGTAAAAAATTAAGTTTATTTTGTTAGCAATAAATTCTGTTGCTCTGTCAATATATTTTCAGTGATGGGACACTTTTTGACTTTTGCTCTATGGAGGGTTGGGGGGTAAAGTAAACAATGATCTAAATTAAATGGTTTATATCACCTGTCCGTCAGTGATTTTATTGTAGTTTTAGGCGACCAGTTTAGGGATTCAAATCCCATCATCTGGCTGTTAAAAATATCATTTCACTCAAATTGAGGTCGTCGGTAAACACAAAAACACGCACATAAAACATGAAATACAAAAACACGGAAGGAAATTGTACAAATATTGGTAACTGGCCAGTACAAGACACTACGACGCGGCATGGGTAGATGCGTGGTCATGACTGAGGTGTCCTTGCTCCTCTCCCGTTATCTATGGAATGCCGGTGGTATTGTTGTCCTATTATAATTGTGTTTCATGTTTTATGTGCGTGTTTTTGTTTTTAATGACAACCTCAATTTGAGTGAAATAAAATTATTAATAGCCTGAGGATGGGATTTTAGTCCCGAAACTGGTCGCCTAAGACGACAATAGGATCACTGAAGGACAGGTAATATAAACCATTTAATTCAATAGCATAATGAAAAATGATCTAAAATAGAATTTAACACGAGAGAGTACTATTATAATGTGAAAGTTGATATTGAAAAAAAAACATATAAGTTAATGAGGTAAAATACTAAAGTGACAGGTAGTAGATTCATAACCTTATGAAGGTAGAAAAAGAAACAATGTTTTATTGTGGTAAAATTTGTGGAGATTTTGCCATTTTCATGTAAATTTACCTTGATTTGAAAATGTGAGGTTATACAAAATAAACTATAGAAATGGTGTTTAGTAATCAAGAAAAAATGTAACAATCTTAGTCTTATGCACTAATAAACAGTTGTCTTCATTACAAACCTGCAACGTATGAGGAGGAACACTGAACATCATAGCTTCATTGTAGATCGGGCTTCGCTCTCCTCGTTTTGTCGAAGTCTTCTTCTTGTGCGCTTTTTTACCGTGTTGTAATAGATAAACCTGTACATACAGAAGTTCATGATAAATATAATTTATTTATTTGAACAATTTCTATGACAATTTCGTAAACCACAATATATAGGCCTACTAGACCACCAAAATTATCAACTAATTTCAAATCTATTCCTCCCTTACGCACGCACACAGTAAACAGTCCCCAGAAGATTCTCTGCTGGAAAACAGTAGAAACTATTTGACAGTCAGGTTATAGGATTACATTTTAATCTTATTTCCTTTCATCATCAAGGTGAAAGTTAGGGAAGCGATCTGGTCTAGTAGTTAGAGCGCGGGACTTCGGTGGCTGAGGTCCCGGGTCCAAATCCCGCCAAATCACCAATGGATTTTATCCAAGTGATAATGCCGCAACCCCTAGGTTTAGCCTGAAGTAATGTGAAAAACAATCCCTGGCTCGTGCCTAGCGTCTTACAAAAAAAAGGGGAAAGTTAATTATTTAATAAGCAGAATCGGTGTTTTTGACATTATTTGAGTTAGATTTTAATTGACAACTAAGGACCTGTGTGATTTTGCATGAAATAAAATTGAACTTTCTTCTTGTATGAATGAATCCATTCAGTTGGTGTGGTAGCTTAGCCAATATTAGATAAGTAATACACATGTATACAAGCTGAAATACACCGCTTAAGATTCTCTTTGAAAACTAATGTTGGTTAGGGTTACATTGCGTTTGTCATTATCTCTTATTTATAACAATCCTTGCTGCATCAATAAGGATGCAAATATGCACACCCAGACATGTGTTTTGATGTGAAATATGTGGGGGTAAGTTTTAAAACAAAAAAGCCTTATTAGGAAAAAACTGTCATAGAAATAGCGTATTAAGATATGCGAGGCATGTTTTTTTAAGTAAGCACCGTTTTTAATTTTCTCCGTTCCAGCGCTGTGATTGACATTTTGGACATTTGTGCTGTGTGTTGGCTGTGTATCTATTGGCAAGCCTGCACCGGAAATTAAAAAAAACATGTCTGGTATAATGAGGTCCTGATTTAATGTTCACTTTTACACACAACACAGAACAAAAAGAAAATGTGGACTTTTGGAAATTTGGAGATTTTGGACTTCACAACCCAAATGTAGTTTAAGTGTAAGTAAATACCTTAACAAATGGGTCGCCTGATTCCCTGTGAAACTTGAGATTCCTGGCCTTCACCAACACAACTGTAAGACGTTCTGCAGTTGGCAGGTAACTTAGAGAAAACATCACTTCACCCAGCTCTGTACTCGTCTAAACATAACAAACAGTTTTATAACACTATGCTTCCACAGTTAACTTTACTTTTTACAATCGGTTGGCAAGTCATAAGTGTGTAGTCGTTAATATAAACAGCGCAGAATTGTTTCAACATCAGCCACCCCAGCCGCTTGCATTGCCTGTACAGCTCGTGACATCTAAGCTGGCACTTGGCCTAACGCGGGGGCGGGCAGTGTAGGCTAGAGGTGGGTGGAGGTAGGGAAAAAACCGGACTGCAAACATTTCCGCTGCCTCACGGGGTTGACTCCCCTTGTATTATGTTCTTCAGCCATCATATGGGTCCGGAGGACAGTTGATGCAACCCGCATGAAGGGACATAATGTTTTTTAACTATAGATACTACTAGCGATCGGCCATGAACCAGCTTAGATGTCACATGCTGTACCTTTCTCTACAGATCAGCAGCCATTATGATCAAACTACCATTGCGATTATGGTGGCACTTCATTCTACCACCTGTAAATAATTTTGAGTTTCAAAGTTGATATCTAGGTATCACAAACCATGTGGTATTTTGGCCGGTGCTACTCACCTTTGATTGTTTATTTAGAGGAAACTGGCAAAGTAATTGGCAGAGACGAGTGATTTGAAACTAATTTGAATGATTTGGAAAGCAGCATTGGTCAATTATAAGCCCAAATATAGTATTGTTCTAAAATTGACTGAGACTTTTTTGATCACATATGTCACAAATAGCTTTTGGTGTGATATTGTTAAGTTATACCATTAACTCAACAATGGCCTGTTGGCCTCATAAGTTTTCTCATATGAAACTTCAATACACTAAATATCCGTATTCACAAGTTCATGTATTTAATCGTGCTTATGACGACACACCACAACACCAATATGATGAAGAGGATTGGTGTTTACAACTTTGGTATTCAGCTTGATAATGAGCGCCTTTATGGTCACCTGACAAAAAACAGGTTCACTAACCTTTTTATAAAAAAATATTTAAATCTCATCTCGTAGTAACACACAATACTGCTTGTTACTGACCTGTCCGGTGTCGGTCAGTGTGAGCCAGGTGGTGACGGGTTGTCGAGCGTTGACGTCACACAGCCGTAGCTCTGCCTCCCCCAGTAGCGAGCTGGACGCTCGGTCAGTGGCGTAGATGTAGAAAGACAAAGATCTCCTGTGATACTCCGTCGGCTCTAGAGCGAACAGGAACCTCTCCTTGTAACTTGGACTGTTGGACTTCCTGTAAACCTAAATGAGCAGAAAAGAAGAATAGACATTTAAAAAATATTAGGATTGTTGTAGGTTGTAATCATGAGGAAATAAATTGAAATGAGTCAATCAGAATCCATCAACCAGTTGAATAATAGCAGGACGGCTGAGTGTTTAAGGTGCCAATCTGAAGGTTGTCAGTTCAATCCTGAAAAAATCTTTTTATCCATTGAATCTGAACTCAGATGTTTTTGATCATAGGGTTTTTATAAATGGTATTGATGGTAACTTATAAGCAACTAGTGTTCCTGTTGCATGAAATCAAGCAATTTTCTTATTGTCAACTGTTTTAAACACGTCAATATTATAATCAATATTTCTTGTAAATATGTTTTTTCCATTTGTCAAGAGCTGACCTTGTTTTTTTAGTGTTTTCTACTAATGTTTTCCAACTTACCCATAGCCCCATGTTGTCCAACTTACCCATAAAATTGTCCATGATTATCTTTATTATTGATTTTATAAGTAGTGTAGCCAGGATTCTTGACTCTTTCCATTAGAATTTGTAGGCAACCCCAGATTTAAATTAGTAAATATTTCATTTCAACCAAGTCAGTAAAATGTGTGTAGCAAGGGCACGTTTTCTTGAATTGCAGCAATTAAATTATCCAGCTGATCATGTAAACAAACAATTATATTATTTGAAATTAAGAAGCCACTGAGGGGTTTTTTTTCCAAATGTGAGACCTTATATGACATCCACTCAATGAGATCTTTCCAATGAGCCTGTAGTGAATAAAATACAACTAGTACGACATAGCTCAGTTCAGGGCCGTCCAAAGGGGGGGGGGCAACCGGAGCAAGCTGCCCCGGGCGCCGTGGCTGAGGGGGCGCCGCACAGCGGCTATTTTTATTAACATAGTACATAGTACAGTATTAAAATATGCGAATGCGACTATTACTGGGGGGGAGGGGGCGCCAACCCTAGGGACGGCCCTGGCTCAGTTTTAAGATGAATAAAACCCTTCATTCTGTTTGTAATTAATTTGGGGTTTTACTCTCATTACCAACAAAGTTGGTTGAGAAACCACGGAGGAGTTCTGCCGACAAAATTCGTTCTCGCCTATTATATATATAGATCTGACACAATAAACTTTTTCCCATTTGCTTGTCAGCAACCCTTTTCATTGGGAGCCGGTAGCTCGATCTGTACACAAACACACACACATAGATACGATACAGATACACACAGACATCACTCCAAAAACGAGACATTCTCTGGAGGACCAAGCCCCCCACCACCGACTAACGTATCAGGGTCCTGGTCAAAAACCAATGAAAACCTCTTCTACGAAAGAGAGAGCCCCTCACGTAAATTTAAGGAAAATCTATATAATTGATATGCGAAAACTAAGTTTGTCGGTTGAACTCCTCTGCCATTTCTTAACCGATTTCATTACATTTTTGAAAAAGTCCCTTGGGCTCTGCCCCAGTGGCTTTGAAAGTTTCCATGTTATCCTTATGAAGAACGTAATTGTTTACATTTTGATCAGCTATATAATTTAATTGCTGTTAATATTTAAGCTGCAACTAGTTATAAAATTAATTTTATAATTTTTTAATTATAATATTAAATTGTCATAACCTAACCTAACCAACCAAACTTGCTGATAATATGAAAAAGATATAAAAAAAACGTTGAATGAAGGTTTACTAATTGAAAAATATTTCTTTTCATAAAATAAAATTATAAATACCAAAAATTCTAACAAAAGATGTACATTTTAGAAGTAATCACATTCTAAGCAAAATCATTGACAAACAGTTAATGTCACCTGTGGGATTGGAACTGGTTACCTAATAAACATCAGCCGAGTACGCTATCCACTACACCCCCAACACCGATAGTTGCACTTCGTATCATTGCGGTAATGGTGTTCCCTCAAGAGAACACCATTAAATTTCACGCACATATTTAATCACGGCACGGTGTTGGCCGGCTTGGTCCTCCAGAGAATGTCTCGTCTCCAAAAACCACTTTTTCAGACCTGAGGGGACCCAAAATGATTACCTCCACTCAAAAATGTTGACGAAAATAATACTTTCTCCATACTACAGAGGAAGAAACCAAAAAAACTAAACAAAAAGCTCTGATTTTAGTAACAATGCTGCCATTTTATAAATATTTGGTCTTTAACTGGTTTCCCATATGGTCCAGTAAAGGACTCACCCTGGTCTGCATGTTAGTGGTCTTGTCAGGTAGAAGGTACACTCTGACATATGTGTCTAGAGGTTGGTGCTGAGGATGGTTCACATCACTGCTTACTAGATCCTTGGCCTCCAGCACGTTCACCATCAAATCAGCCACCTCGCTAACAACCAAGAAGTTATGTAAAAGATCATGACCAGTTTGAAATCTAAAAGACCTTTTTAAACCAATTGAAAATTGAAAACTTAAATTCAACTCACCTGTCATATTCAAGTCCCACACAGAGATAACCAGTTACGTTGGGTTCTTGTAGGTCTGCTGCGGAGACACTTGTGTCAGAACACACAGAGTCACAACTCATGGCTCTCTGCAGCTGAGGTACAACTCTCTCCGTGACCTCCTCTGTCACCAGTGGTGGAGGTAGCACTACCACAGGCTCCATTATATCTGCTAACTGATAACAACAATAAATTTCATTTTTTCGAATGGGTAGCCTCCGGATTATCAAGATACAATTAAAGTGGTTTAAATACCTGTAATGTCGACAATCCAATCGGTTATGAAACAACTAGTTTCGGCACACAAAGGAGCCTTCTTCAGGTTTTCCCAAGGACATTGTCACTTCTTCTGAAGGTCGTCAAAGATCACAATATTTACAAAACATAAAAAACATTTAAAACACGTAACACGCATGCCTAGGCCTAGCTTTAACGATGTGACCGGCGGGAGTTTACGTTACGTCTAGACTGCCGGGCACTATGGTCCGGTGGAGCACTTGGTGGAACACATCCCCAAGAAAACCACGTCCACTCAATCATCAACTTTTGCAGAGCATTTAATCACAAACAACCATAGCTATTCCAACATCAACGATAACATGACTGTTCTACATTTTAATAATAACAAGTTTCAGATCAACACTCTAGAAGAATTCGAAATTTATAAGGCAGTAAAATCGGACAAACAAAACGTGCTAAACGACAAGCTTTCATTCGCATCTAATTTCATTTACAACACTACAATATAAATAATGGAAAGGGAGAGGGAGAAGAATGATACCCGCAAACAACCTGTTACTGATAAGACGCACCGACCATAGTGCCCGGCAGTCTAGACGTGAACTCCCGCCGGTCACATCGTTAAAGCTAGGCCTAGGCATGCGTGTTACGTGTTTTAAATGTTTTTTATGTTTTGTAAATATTGTGATCTTTGACGACCTTCAGAAGAAGTGACAATGTCCTTGGGAAAACCTGAAGAAGGCTCCTTTGTGTGCCGAAACTAGTTGTTTCACAACCGATTGGATTATCGACATTACAGGTATTTAAACCACTTTAACAATAAATTGTGCAGAAGTACGAACAATACGGTTCATCACATTGGCAAATAGATCAACTTTTGCTTGGTCCAAAAAAGTCACTTCAGACCACAGAAAACGTACTACTATAACCCAGAATGCCAACCGCATGGTAAAAAGCATTAAGCGTTTTGAGAGAGCTTTGCCTGTCAATCCGTAGGCAGCGCCACCAGCGTTGCTATGCTATTGCATGGTAACGCTGGTGGCGCTGCCTACAGATTGACAGGCAAAGCTCTCTCAAAACGCTTAATGCTTTTTACCATGCGGTTGGCATTCTGGGTTATAGTAGTACGTTTTCTGTGCTTCAGACACTAGTGAAGAAATACTATTTAACCTGTTTGCAAAACTTACAAAGGGGTTGGTTGAGATAGCAGGTGGAGCTTGAGGCGTTAGTGGTGGAGGAGGAGATGGTTCCACAGGTTTGGGTGATGGCGGGGGTACGGGGCTGGGCGCGGGGCGTAGAGGCTGCAGGGGGATCTCTGGGGCCACTGTGGTGCTGAGGGTAGAGTCCACGGGTGGAGTCCACACCTCACGATCTACAGAGTCAAAGTGCTGGAAACTGCCTGTACAGTCCAGCTGTATATCAGAGTCTGACGTTATCTGGAAGATGGAACATCGGTAAAGTGAAGGATGTTTAATAGTACAGGTAAAATAATACAAAAACACTCCATATAACAACAAAATTTGTACATTCATGAAATTTCACCTGTGAGTTACTAATAATATGAGAAATGAAGTTCCGATGAGTCCCCAAAATTTTGGGCGTGCTAAGGCCCTTTTTGTTCCGAAGGGCCCTTAATCCTGAATAATTTTGTTTTTACGTTTAAGGTCGTGTGAGGTGTGGTTTTCGATGGTTTTAGTTATTTTAAATCGATTGGGACTAGTTTTATGTGTATTAAACCACTCCGTACAGGGTGTTTAGAAATATTATTACTTTTTACGATATTTAAACATTTATTCATAAAGTGATAAAATTAGTTACCTCCATGCATGCTCTATATAAAAGGGGATTATTGAAAATAACTAATTCTTTACTATATAAGAGGGAAGGATCTCAAGGAGTAAGAGAAAATATTAAATACCCCCGTCACAGCAAACCTGCAGACTAAGCGAATTTTAATTTGCCCGATTTTCAATTAAATCTAATAGTTTAATGAAATGAGGTCTAATAGTTTAATGAATACTTAGGTTTGCTGCTACAAGGAGGCTAATAAAGTGTGTTTATAGTAACATCTTAATAGCCTAGTATAAAACAAATAAATTTGACAAGTTTTACTAAGACATATCTATAAACAAACAAACAAAATCATTTTACACTATTCTCCTTAAGAATAACATGGAATTTTAAATTTACTATTTTTGAATTTTATTCGTAACTAACACACTTACAAAACACGTTAATATACTAAATTATTTGTTTTCTTTGAGCTCCTTAAAATGCTGTAGAGAAAAATTGGGAAACTTTGTCTTTTGAGGGTCAACGATTACATATTTTTACCACATAAAACCCTGTTCCATGGACCGATTATGCCGGTTTCGTTAAAATTGAACCTAAATTACTCGAGTTATCATGTTTATGGACACGTATATAACATGGATATATTATATTATATATGGATATAAACACATATATACTATTTTGAGTAGATGGTGCTTTAGGCTTCTGGGGCCATCGAAATGAAAACGTAAATCGGTTTCGGGTCTATGTTTTACCATGAGACCTTCGGTAATAGCTTATCTCCTAAATGGGATGTTCGCTAAAAGGGGATGAAGGGGATGGATGAAGTTTCACACTATAACATGATAACATAGGTTACTAAGCAAAAATTTCAACTTTTAAGGTGGTGTGAATAATCTTTCAACGTGTTTATTATGCAAATCTATTAAGACCAATTTCAAATTGATATGTATTTTTCTAAGGTAGTATTTAAGTTATTTTTTACATTTATTAAAAATTAAAACAATTGCATTTGTATATAACCTTACATTACATATTAAAATGAAGTACTAAAGCTATTTTTCTACAATTTATGTAGTATCTCTCTTTACAATTTCATTATCACAATAATTATTCTCAGACGACTCATTAAAAATGTCATAATCTTTATTCTATATAGTCAGCTGTTGATAAATATTAAATAGAAAACACTTGTTATTGTTGCTTTTAAAAACATTACATTACAAAAACATCTATGTTGTAAAAATAAAGTTATATAAGTTACAATGTGCGTGTATTTTAATAGTACGGTCACAACACTTTTTGGCGACGAGTAAAAACCGAAATAATGACATTTTACACGTTCAGATAATCTGTAATTATTATTCAATCTGTTTCAATCATTCAACCTACACTACTTTCATCACATTTGACTGAACCACAATGGATGCTAACCAATTCAAGGAATTCCTACAAGTTTTTCAACAGCAACAACAAGAACAGTTTCAACAATTATTCTCACATTTCACAAGGCATGAGAAGTCGGAGGTATCAGTAAGTCTTACAAATATTGCTCAATTTGAAAATTTCGAACCTAGACGTGAAAAGTTTTGTAATTATCTAGAACGTTTTGAAAATTACTATACTCTGAAAGGCCTGACTCAAAAGGAAAGTATTGCTCAACTCTTATGTGTATCTATTGGGTCAGTACATTACAATGCCCTATCAGCTTTTCTAGGCCCAGAAAAACCAATAAAAAACTTACCTTACGATGATCTTGTCAAAGTTCTAACTCAATTGCTTGTTCCTAAGAAAAATGTAGTCGTTTCTCAACATTACTTTTTGAACATTTATCAAAAGAATGGTCAATCAATATCAGATTTCGTAGCCTCACTTCAGCGAGACTTGGTCGATTGTGAGTTTACAATTAAATGTGAATGCGAGAAAACAAATTCAATCTCTGATGTATTTTTACGAGCCCAGTTCATCCGTGGCCTTCGAGATGATTGGCTTAAAGAACAGATTTTACAATCAAATCTCTCTAGTTTTGACGAAATACTCAACAAGGCTATTGCTTTAGAGGCATCAAAACTTGACAGCAAAGAACTTTCTAAACCTAATCAGACATCAAGTTTTAACAATTTTACTTCTACCGAATCTACTAATGTGATTTCCAGCAGTTACAGAACTTCTAGAGACCGTTCGAAAGATCCAGGAAACAGAAGATTAAATTCAAACAACAGATCTTCACCTGAAAACTACAAGTCTAGATCGTCTAGATCTGTCTCCCGAAAAAGGTACATCGACTTCAAGGCCTTGGGAATTGAAAACGTATGTTTGCGATGTGGTAGAAATAGTCACAAGGCAAGTAACTGTAGAGTAGATTATAAGACGCTCTCGTGTAATAACTGCAAAAGGAAAGGTCATGTATCAAAAGTTTGCATTCAATCACTACTCAAAAATTCAAAAGTAGATTCAGTTGAACCGTATTTAAATTCAGATACTAATAGTGAACAGTTCAATCAACCTTTTCATGACCCAACATACGGCATTCATAGCATGAATTGTACTGTAGTAGACCTTTTTGAAATGACTCCTGATCTCGACAAATACCTCATTGATGTAGAATTAAACGGCAAACGTCAACGTTTTGAAGTCGATTCCGGTGCAAAATTTTCCCTACTTTCAGAAAGTGATTTCAAGAAACTCAAGCTTGGCCTTCCCCTACAGAATTCTAATGTTTGCTTTCGTTCATACACAGGTAACATCATTAAACCTGTTGGGAAGGCATCTGTTACTGTATCTTACAATGGTAAACAGATAGATGGTGAACTACACATCGTACCTGCAGGACATGACGCTTTGTTAGGTAGACAGTGGATTAGAGGGTTAGAAATCGAGCTTCGACAGGTGTATGAGGAAATGTTTCAGAGACCTTCAAACCACGTTCCGATTCACAGTGTAAATTCAATAAACGAAATTTTAAGTAATTTTGCTCCCATTTTTGAAGAAAAAGTAGGATGCGTTCCGAACTTTAAAGTCTCCCTGCAACTTCGAGAAGGCGCAAAACCGATCTTTACGAGGGAAAGAGATGTGCCATATGCACTACGAGAACAAGTTGAAAAGGAACTAGATACACTTGAAGCTGAAGGAATAATTTCCAAAGTCACAACTTCGGATTGGGGATCACCTCTTGTTGTAATACCCAAACCTAACGGCGGAATCCGCCTATGCGTTGACTACAAATGTGGGGTTAACGACAGATTAGTACAAGCAAATCATCCAATACGTCGCATCGATGACGTGCTCAACAGCCTGAGAAACTCTAAGTACTTTTGTAAGCTTGATTTATTTAAAGCTTATTTACACCTGCAAGTTGATGAAGATAGTAGTCAAATTCAAACTATTTCGACACACAGAGGTACATACAGGATCCACAGACTCAGTTTTGGAATAAAAACTGCTCCAGCCGAATTCAATCGGATCATATCTCAAATCCTCATGGGACTAAAGAAAACAGAAGCCTATTTTGACGATATCATTGTTCATGGAAACACATTCGATGAGTGCCTTCAAAACCTACAAGCATGTCTTCAACGACTGTCCGACTACAACTTGCATGTAAACAGAAATAAATGCACTTTTATGACTGAAAAAGTGGAATACCTTGGTCATGTTGTTCAACACAACAAAATCAGCAAGTCTCCATCCAAAGTTCAAGCGATTCAAGATATGCCACGTCCACACAATGTCGAGGAACTCAAAAGATTTTTGGGTTTGGTTACATACTACTCAAGATTTGTACCAGATTTTTCTACAATGACATTTCCACTCAGATGTCTACTGAAGAAATCAGAACCATGGATGTGGACAGCTACTTGTGAATCTGCATTTCTAAAACTCAAATCGGAACTCTGCAGTGACAGAGTGATAATTCCATTCGACCCTAACCTAAACCTCATCCTGACAACTGATGCTAGTCCTACAGGTGTCGCAGCTGTACTAAGTCATGAAATCGAAGGAGTTGAACGTCCGATAGCATACGCGTCTCGTTCTTTGAATCCGAGTGAAATGAACTATAGTCAACTTGATCGAGAGGCATTGGCGATAATCTTTGGTGTGAACCATTTCTACAACTACCTACTTGGCAAGAAGTTCATTTTAGTTACAGACAATGAACCATTGACAAGGATTTTTCACCAAAATAAAGCTCTACCACAGATGACGTCAGCTCGCCTGCTGCGATACGCTTCATTCCTCTCCGGATTTGATTACATTGTTCGATTCAAGAAGGGGAGTAGCAATCAAAATGTAGATTGTTTATCAAGATCTCCAGTCAAAACATGCAGTAGTTCAACAGATCAAGAAATCGGGGAAGAAGTGAACCAGCTTTATTCTCAATCACTTTTTCAAGTATCCAACCGTGAAATAACTTCAAAGACAATCAAAGAAGAAACCGCCAAAGACCATGAAATGAATGGAATAGTTCAAACCCTGAAAAACAATTCTACTGACTCAGAATACACCCTACTTGACGGTATATTGTTTCGAAAAGACAGAATTGTAATTCCAACATCTTTACGCTCCAAAATACTCAGTGAACTTCATGAAACTCATCTGGGAATAACCAAAATGAAGCAACTCGCTCGACGCTATGTTTACTGGTCAGGAATTGACGGTGAAATCGAAAGACTAGTTAAAGGATGTAAAAGTTGTGCCCTAGTGAAAGCAAGTCCACCTAAAGTGTCAGTACATCCGTGGAACCTACCTGAAAATAACTGGGACCGCATACATATAGATTATGCTGGCCCTTATGAAAATCACTACTTTCTTGTTTGTATTGACGCAAGATCCAAATGGGCTGAAATCGAAGTGTTGAAGGAAGCTCCCACATCTTCAAACACAATCAATCTGTTAAACAAGATATTTGCTACACATGGGTATCCGAAAGAATGCGTTTCTGATAATGCTACAATATTTACAAGTGAAGAATTCAGAGCTTACTGCAAGATCAACGGCATATTCCAAAAGTTCATCGCCCCTGGGCATCCAGCGACAAATGGCCTTGCAGAACGCAACGTACAAACCCTGAAGAACAAATTAAAGTCAGCTTCTGAAGAACCTGGAACCCTGACAGACAAAGTGAGAAGAATCTTATTCCGTTATAGAGCTACTCCATTAGCTAGCAACCAAACCCCTGCTGAACTCTACCTCAATAGAAAACTAAGGATTCGACTGGATGCCATATTTCCTTATCAACACCCTAAATCAAATATCGAGCCTGTTTTAAAACCTGTCAGATCGATTCAAGAGGGGGAGAGAGTGCAAGTTCAAATGTACAGTAACAACCGACAAGTTTGGCAGTTTGGAGTAATAAAGAAGAAGCTAGGAAAAAGACATTACATAGTAACACTCGATAGTGGAAGAAATATCAAGAGACACATTAACCAGCTTAGACCAACTCTAGTAATGAAAGAAAAGATGGTAACATTTGGACCTAAGCAATCATTTGATGTACCAAGACTTCCAAACCAAACTCCATCGTATCCTGATCAAATACCCGACCATATTGAACCAGAACCAGACCACCCTACAGAAGTTAACATTCCAGTTCGCTCTCCACGACCAATAAGACAACGACGACAGCCACCTTGGTTACGAGACTTTATCGTTCAAAAATAGTTTATGTTCTTCTCAATAAGTGAGGGAGAGTGTCATAATCTTTATTCTATATAGTCAGCTGTTGATAAATATTAAATAGAAAACACTTTTTATTGTTGCTTTTAAAAACATTACATTACAAAAACATCTATGTTGTAAAAATAAAGTTATATAAGTTACAATGTGCGTGTATTTTAATAGTACGGTCACAACAAAAAATTTTATTATTCTTAGCAACTTGTCCATCTTTACTGATTTTGTCCAAGTTGGTGTTCAAGCAGGATTCCCCTTTACAAACCTAAAACCTTGCATATTGCAGAACAGGCAACACCAATCTTAAAGCACGAACAATGTGGTGCAAAAACACCTTTCATACATACTGACGTTTGCAACTTGTATCTTAAGTTCCTCAAACTTATTTTCAATCAATCCAAGTACAGTTATCTTTCGTGGTTATGACGACCAGGACAGCACTAAGACATCAGAGCAGCATTGTCGGCACAAGCATTTTTGTCCTGAACAATGGGAACGAGGTTTATGGGGTAAAAATTGGGCTTTCTTATTTACTTTACCCTCAAAACACAAAGTTTCCCAATTTTTCTCTAGAACATTTTAAATAGCTTAAAAAAATAATTTAGTATATTAACGTGTTTTTGTATGATACTAGTTACGGATAAAAATACTAAAATTATAAATTTAAAATTCCCATGTTATTCTTATGTAGAATAGTGTAAAATGATTTTTTTTATTGTTAATAGATATATTTTGATCAAACTTATTAAATTTATTTGTTTTATACTAGGCTTTTAATATTTTACTATAAACACACTTTATTAGCCGCCTCGTAGCAGCAAACCTAGGTTATCATTAAACGCAACGCTATTTTAGATTTAATTGAAAATCAAGTAAGTAAAACGGAAATTCGCTAGGTGTGCAGGTTTGCTGTGACGGGGGTATTTAATATTTTCTCTTACTCCTTGTGATCCTTCCCTCTTATATAGTAAAGAATTGCAGTTATTTTCAATAATCCCCTTTTATATAGAGCATGGAGGTAACTAATTTTTTTCACTTTATGAATAAATGTTTAAATATCGTAAAAAGTAATAATATTTCGAAACACCCTGTATGGAGTGGTATTTGTTTTATACTAGGCTGTTAAGATTTTACTATAAACACACTTTATTAGCCTCCTTGTAGCAGCAAACCTAAGTATTCATTAAACTATTAGACCCTTTTTTCATTAAACTATTAGATTTAATTGAAAATCGGACAAATTAAAATTAGCTTAGTCTGCAGGTTTGCTGTGACGGGGTATTTAATATTTTCTCTTACTCCTTGAGATCCTTCTCTCTTATATAGTAAAGAATTACAGTTATTTTCAATAATCCCTTTTTATATAGAGCATGCATGGAAGTAACTAATTTTATCACTTTATGAATAAATGTTTAAATATTGTAAAAAGTAATAATATTTCTAAACACCCTGTACGGAGTGGTTTAATACACATAAAACTAGTCCCAATCGATTTAAAATAACTAAAACCATCGAAAACCACACCTCACACGACCTTAAACGTAAAAACAAAATTATTCAGGATTAAGGGCCCTTCGGAACAAAAAGGGCCCCAAAAAGGGCCTTAGCACGCCCAAAATTTTGGGGACTCATCGGATCTTCATTTCTCATATTATTAGTAACTCACAGGTGAAATTTCATGAATGTACAAATTTTGTTGTTTATAAAACCCTATTTTACCTGAACTATAAGGGGAGCTAACATCTTTGTTTTTTTTAAATTCCAGTTGTGGTTGGAGGTTTGCTGCAGATTTGAAACCTAGGAGTATTCATTGATCTACCTAACATAAAATTAAAATACAAAATCAAATCCTTATTCAAAACATAACAAAGATTTTTATCAGCAATGGTAAATAATATTATTATTGAGGAAGATGCAATATTTTATTTGGTTCCAATTCTGACTGTCAGTCTGGATTATGAAAATATTTGTTTTAAATTTATTTTTCTTACTGCAGTGAACATTTCTATATTGTATAAGCGTTAACTTATACTTTAACCTACGGTAGTTTTCCCAAATATTTCTTGTTTATTTTTTTACATATTTTTTTCACCAGATGAAGTTTCTCGGTATCTCAGTCACTTTTCTAGTTGTATTTTATACATTCCTATACAAATAAGTCCTAAATAAAAATTAATGAAAGAACATGTAATAATATGTCCCACCGAAATTTAAAAAAATCTAAAAAGTTATAGTAATATAAGAAAGGTTTCCCAAGTGGTTTGTTAACTTAACTTAAACATCAAAGGGACTGCTAACAGAAATCACGAAGCTGCTTAAATGTTTTAAAGGAAAGTTTAAAAAAAAATTGGAGTCTTACGCAAGTTAATTGCTTTTATTGATATTTCTTCTAAAGAAACAAATCCTGTAGTCCACTATGGTTTCAACCTTGTTTGAATGATTTGGCTACAGATGCACTAGGAATGCTTTTGGTATACTCTGTCAAAAAATATGGGGTGAACATTTCCAATAGGAACTAATCAAAGTTATTTGAAGTTACATTTTGTAAACTGGTGTTGAAAATGAGATTAGTGAAGTTTTTCCTATATACCTTCTTCTTAAGCATACCCAATTAGAAAAAAAATTATCTTAAATCCAAGCTTCATGTTGGATGAAACGGTGGTTGATAATTAGACTGGAAATGATAGATGAAGGAAGCGACAAAGTTACCAAGTATCCATTGGCGTTGTAATGGCCCTTGAGTCTGGTTAATGACACCTTCTCCTCTCTGTTGGAGAATATCCATGCAGCCGTCCATGTCCAGAGACCGATGGATCGACAGCCTGCCAACACCAGTATCAGCACCAGCGCAGTGATCAGCAACACTCCTACACCCATATCAGCTGCCTGCAAACCAACACAAACTCTTAACAACTCCAGCGCAGTGATCAGCAACACTCCTACACCCATATCAGCTGCCTGCAAACAAACACAAACTCTTAACAACTCCATGTGTCTTTGTGGAGGGTTCCACCCGCTGGCTGTTACCACGTAAAAATGGTCCTAAAAAAACAACCTCGAGGCATTTTGATCGAGTTGAAATAACAGTAAAATATTCACAAAGATCCAAACTATGCACTGGATGAACTGAAACTTCATGATTGTTTCTTTAATAGTTCACAAAATAATCTTTTAAATCTGTAAATTAGTCTTTTTCACATGTGATTTTAGCTTCTAAATAATATTTACAAATTAATTTTCCCCATCCATTGCAAGCTCTGATCTGTTAAGAACACAAAAAGCAAACAGCCATTGGAAAAAAATAAGTTTTAGAATGTTGAGTGAGCTTGAGTGTGAGTGAGCTTTGACAATAGAGGCATGTCCAATTCTGAACTATATATCAATCCATGTAATCCGCCACCTTGAATTGAAATTCAGGCTGCTGGGTAGAACAACCCCTTGATTGGGAAACGGAGCGAGTGCCGTTCTATTCTTTGCCGTGGGGATTATATAAACTGTCAAAACCGCCAGCAGAGAGGGCCGAGTGCCGTTTGACTCCCCAGAGCGTAAGGTTTCCACAACGTTCCTTTTTAACAAAAAATTGGCTACAGCTGTTCCATATAGATGGGATGTCTACTTCAGTATCCAATAGTCAATGCTAATATCCAGTTGATCAAGAAACAAAGCTAGACAGATCAAATCACTCCATTTTACTCACTGTCATCCTTCACTCGTATTCAGATATATGTACCTAGGTTTTACAGACAGGAAATTTACAATTTTCTTCAATAAGTTATTTTTGGATGCACTTTATTTCAGTGTATAACAGCGTCTAGCTGTCTTATCAGTTTCTTCTTGAAGTAGATTAGGTTGGTTTCTTGTTAGGTGTTCTGGAGTTGTTCGTGCGTTTCGGGCGTTAGTTGCTCGTCTTCATTTTCTGCAAATATCAGGCAGTTTTTGAGAATGCATTCTGAAATTTTCCTTAATATATGACACACATATGCGAATTAGGTATTTTCTTGTGAAACGAAAACGCAAAAAAAACACTTGATCCTTCTTGGGCATCAATAATATATATACCCCAAGTCGTTCGATGATTTCATCAAACATATTTGAAAGTAAATAATAAGAAAGCATGTTCATGATAGCCTATTTAGATAAAAATATTGATTTCAGAATACCTATAGTTTAATTTCAATTAAAATCATTGAAATCATTGAATAATTTACAACGGCAGAAACAGTTGTTTTAATTCCCAGCAATAACAAGATAAAAGTTATTTGTTTTATATAGCTATGTAAATCAAATCTGTAAAATACTATACACTATTCGATCAGAGGTCGTTTCCAAAATTGTGACTTAAATGTAAATTTAAAGACCTTCTCTGTATTATTTGATCAAGTGGTCATCATCTGACTTTTTTCCTTTGTACTGTCATTAGGCCATGGCTTGATTTATTTAGTGTTGCCTTGTTTTGACATATGCTATGATTTTATGTTTTGTACATTTACATCGTTATTTTGTAACCATCATGGCAACCCATAAAACCAGTGTTAAAATTAAAAAAATTAAATTGGTTTCGTCTAAACCTCCCAAACGTTTGACAATAACAACTTTGGTAAGTTTGGCTAAATTATGTTCAGCCATTATTGAGTTATGTGTTGGACAGTTTGCACTGAAGTTGATCCCATTTTACAGTTAAAAATAATAATATTAGGTAAAAAAATCTTGTATACAGAGGACCATTCTGAAGAAATTGAGAAAAGTTATGTTATTACAAAAGGTAAAAATACAAGTTTGAAGATGTAAGGTGTCCATTAAAGGGATAAGAGAAGTCTAAAGATTCACTGGGACCTGGAAGTGATCTAAAACTTAAGACATAAATCTCTTCTCCATTTGCTCTTTTAAGGATAAACAAACCTTATTTATTGATCAAAACTTTATCTATTTTGCAATAAATTGAGTGCGGTGGACTTAGTTCGATAAAAACAAGATTGTACACATAAATTTCCCTCTCTTCTTTTTACCCTTACAAATATGTTGTTTCCCTGATGTAATGCTGTTGTACTACTACTGTACTACTTTCTTTAGTTTCTTTACACTTCCACAATATAACCACAGTTTAGTTAAAATATTTGTATGAGAACTGTATGAGGTGATGATTATAGAAGTAGGTTTTAATGATTTTGTTTTAATAAATTTCAGATGATTACATCAGCAGTAATATTCACCTATTAATATATTTTAGAAAATTTCCCATATAAGGAATAAGCTATGATACAACAGCAGACATGCTGTTACCCAGCGTTACATGGGTTGAGGCACCCATGTTAAGGTTAAGATTATTTTAAGACCTCGACCCGGGACTGATTTACTTTTTCGTTTTGGTACCCCCAGAGGCCAAAAACACCATCCGTTCAAATTGATGAGTCCTTTTGCAATATAACTCGAGCAAAAATCACCTAATTTAGTATACTGAAGCGTTATTATGCGCCTAATGGTTATGGAGAAAATTCCAAAAATCTGTAAATTTAAAATTCCCATGTTATTCTTATGGAGAATAAGTAAACTGTTGTACATAGTTTGTTTGTTTATGAACATATTTTGATCAAATTTGGAAAATGCATTCATTTCATACTAAACTATTAACATTTTACAAAAAACACCTTTTTACCCTCCCTGTTGCAGCAAACCTAAGTACTCATTAAACTAATGTTATTTAAATAGGGAATAAATTGAGACATTTTAGTTTAAATCTAATCAGGCAAATGGAAATTCGCTTAGTCTGCAGGTTTGCTGCGGCAGGGGTATTTTTTATTTCTATTTGGGTCTGTGAATTGATTCCAATTTCATCAACTATATGATAGATTTGTGGCGTCAACTTAGCCACAGCTGTGTTGCCTTTGGTCTATGCTTTGTTTTCATATTGGTTGTGTAACAGCTGTTGCTTGTTTTTGTAAAAATGTTCAGTTTTGATTATGTTATGATTCAACACACAACTTAATTCATTTGTAAATAAATCATTATCAAATACTCGTTCATATAGTGGTGAATTTAATTCATACAGATTATCCACACTATATATTGGTGACCCCGAATAACGACAACAAGAAGCACGACATTCCTACATCAATATTACCAATGTCGCTAGAAGAAATCGAAGCTCAATTGGAAAATCTACGGGAGCAACAAAATGAACTTTCCAACAACGTTCAGCAACGCAACGACCCTGGTAATGTATCAGTAAATCGAGTTGCAGTAAAGCTTCCACCATTCTGGGCCGATCGACCTAGTCTATGGTTTGCTCAGGTAGATTCCCAGTTCACCATCTCAGGCATCACAAGCGATGACACTCGGTTCCACTACGTCGTTTCTCAGCTTGAAACACGTTACGCAGTGGAAGTAGAGGACATAATCACAAATCCGCCTGCAACAAATCGTTACGCGGTACTTCGTTCGAAGCTAATTGAAAGGCTCTCTAATAGTGAAGAAGAATGTGTTCGCCAGTTGATAAGCGACGAAGATATCGGAGATCGCAAGCCATCGCAGTTCTTACGCCACCTACGTTCTCTGCTCGGTCCAGCCCAACTACAGGACAGCATCCTTCGAGCACTCTGGCTACGCCGTCTCCCTGTTAACATTCAAGCGATTCTCACTGCTCAAAATGAACTTCCACTCGATAAACTTGCAGATATAGCCGATAAAATCATTGAAGTTTCTACAAGAACACCACAAGTATCGGTAAATGCTACTACATCTCGTGAACACACACAGTCTAATGACGATCTCACTGCTGTTGTTGCGAGACTGACACAAAGGATTGACGCACTCGAAGTATCCCTCCGGCACGATCGTTCGACCAATCATGACAAGAAAACATCAAAGAACCCGAATCCATATCAGAACAAATCTGCAAGCCAAATTTGCTGGTATCATGCCAAATTTGGTGAACAAGCTTCAAAATGTACTTCTCCTTGCTCTTACGCGGGAAACTCCAAAGACGGCCAGTAACAGCGGCGGCTGACTGTCAAGCACCCAGCCAGAAAATTTTTGTTTCGGATCAAAAGTCAGGACTCCGGTTCTTGATCGACACCGGCTCTGACGTATCATGTTATCCAAAACGTCTTCTACGAGACCGTCGCACATCTACAGACTTTGAACTTAGTGCCGCCAACGGTAGTACAATCAAGACTTACGGAACCTGTTCTATGACATTGGACCTAGGCCTTCGCCGTAGTTTTGCATGGCAGTTCACAGTTGCAGATGTCAGTGTTCCAATCATTGGCTCGGACTTCCTCAGTTACTACCATTTGCTTCCTGACTGTCGTTTGTTGTGACTTCACGATGCCAAAACTGGACTTATTACAGGAGGACAACTTTCCGTTACGACTCAAAGTAGCGTAAAATCCGTAGTCACTACTTCTCCCCTCTCTAAAATCTTACATGAATTCCCTGAAATTACTCGCCCTCCAGGATTGCCTCGAGAAGTGAAGCACCAGACAGTACACACGACTCCAGGACCCCCTGTATTCTGCCGACCACGACGACTGGCCCCTGAAAAGCTCAGCATTGCAAAGAGTGAATTTGCCGACATGGTAAAATGTGGTACAGCATCAGACAGTCCGTGGGCTTCACCCCTGCATCTGGTGCCGAAAGGAGAAAATGGATGGAGACCGTGTGGAGACTACCGTGCATTGAATGCACGCACCACTCCTGACAGGTATCCTGTTCGACACATTCATGATTTTTCAAATAATCTTTCAGGCTGTAACGTATTTTCTGTCATAGATCTAGTAAAAGCATACCAACAAATCCCTGTACACCCAGATGACATATGCAAAACTGCTATCACAACTCCATTCGGCCTTTTCGAATTTCCATTCATGACTTTTGGGTTACGTAATGCTGGCCAAACATTCCAGCGTTTCATAGATGAAGTAACCCAAAACCTAGACTTTACGTTCAGCTACATTGATGATATTTTAGTGTTTTCCCGATCAATTGAAGAACATGAGGAACATCTTAGGACTTTGTTCAAAAGACTCCATTCCTATGGCGTTATTGTAAACTCGTCCAAGTGTGTTTTTGCAATGCCTGAAGTGACGTTTTTAGGGTACAAAGTTTCAGCATCAGGTGTCTACCCTCCACAAGATCGGATATCTGCTCTACAGGAGTACCAACTACCTAAGACAATGCGTGGTCTTCGACGGTTCCTAGGTATGATCAATTTCTATCGTAGATTCTTACCTAAAGCCGCAGAACTCCAAGCACCTTTACACTTCTCTGCTTGGTGGTGCAAATAGCAAGGGATCACTTCCTGTGCCTTGGACCCCAGAGACTGAGGAAGCGTTTCAAGCTTGCAAAGCTAGTTTGTCGTCGGTGACACTCCTATTTCATCCGAAACATGACGCCCCTCTTGGACTGTTTACAGACGCCTCTGACGTTAGTGTAGGAGCTTGCCTTCAACAATTTGTTGAAAATTCCTGGGCAGCCACTTGGATTTTTCTCTAAGAAACTTTCACCAAAGCAAAGCTCTTGGCCTGCGTACTACCGTGAACTTCTAGCTGTGTATGAAGCAGTTCAGCATTTTCGTCATTTTTTGGAAACCACGGCATTTACCATTTTTATGGATCATAAGCCACTCATCTTTGCCTTTCATCAACGTCGTGAGAAACTTCCACCTGTTCAACTACGTCAGCTTTCATTCATATCCGAGTTTTCTAC